TATTTTTTAAATGATTTATTATTCGTTACTAAGAGCACAATTATCTGATTTTATAAAGCGAAAATTGTCTAACGTTCATGATTAGAACTTTTTACAATAAACCGACGATATATCATTAATTTAATCTGCTTCTTTGTATATAAAATAAAATTACTATATAACAAGAGTATTATAATTGTATATCATTTATTCAGAAATTATTTATTAAAATATGAATAAACTATAGGACTGAGATAATATATGATAATATCCTTAAAAATTCTTAACAATGTCAACAAAAATTAAATAAATACACGAATATTTATTATTATTTGTAAAATATTTTCATTTTTAAACGCCATTTCGTGAATTACATTAAACTATTAAGAAAATAGAAAAACAAATGGAATTAGTTATTATTTTAATGAATAAACTCACATAATTTTAATACTAAGATAAACAATAAATTAAAAGCATTTTTTTTTTTTTACATTAAAGTATCAACTTGGTATATTATTTGCAAATGAAAATAACTGTTGAAATATTTTTATACAATGAATTATTTATAATTATTTATTTGAATAAAAAAAATTGGGAATGAAAATCTGATATTAATACAATTTATTTAACAAGTAATTATAAGTAAACACAACAAAAAATTACATTCCAAAATAACGAATACATTTATAATTATTAATTCTAAAATAACGAATAAAGTAAATTTATTCCTTGTTTTTTTTCCGAAAAATATTTTTTTGCAAGACCGACCAAAACATTATAAAAATAAAAATTACTGGAATCGCTAAGGGAGAGATAAGCAAAGGTATTCCTAAAATTTAATTGGCTATTAAAATTTCACTATTGAGATTTACTTATAATATATTTACATCAGAGGTAAAATATCGTAATATTTCCAAAATTTTACAGGTGAGTTAAAATAATATTCAGATCAAACTGTATTGCTTGGACAATGGTCAGTTTTTACATTTGAAGTATTACACATTTATTACCCCATTAGAGTATTTACGATTCTTATTCTCGAGAAAATAAAAAAACTGCAAAATTGCACTTCTTGTCCCTGGCGTAGTTATGACGCTTAACCGTAAATTACATATATTTTTCCTCAAATTAAATTTAACTAAATCTACACATCTTTCGAAATGAAATTATTAATAACTAACAATAGTTCCTTTAAGACTATAACAAAGTGCCAAAACCAGTATTTTCTTATACGTTTACTTAAAATTGATTCTGTTTCATCAGCCATGGGACGACCCTGGGATTGTGAGACCCTCCTGGGGCACACCTAGCCTCTATAAAGTGGGTACCCTTAATTAATAATTAATTAAGGGGGAAAACCTGGCGTTTGAGCGTGATCTTAGTAAAATCACCTCCTTGCATAATCGTTGACTAAGAAACAGTACTTACCCTAAACAGTGTAGAACCCAAGACCCTTCATGGGTTGTAGTGGTACAGTTTTTTTTTTTTTTTTTTTTTACTTAAAAACTATCAATAAAATGTAATATTAAAACATTATTATCTGAACTATTGCCTTTCATATTAATATACCAAAAGAAATAAACGGATAATAATAAAACATAACGCCATATAAATTAGTATTAGTGTGGTCGATAGTAAGTTCTAAAAACGGCCATTTTCAGCGTTCCAACGTTGTTGTTGTGATATAACTTTCTTTATGTTTTTGCATGTCGGGATACAGACAGAGAGAAAATTAGTTAGTTAGTTCTTTTTATTCAATTTGTCCATTACCTATATAATTGTTCTAATACTGAATTCTCGTAATTGGCTGATTTTAATGTTTTAAAAAAATTGTTTGTAACAACGATTTCATGCAACGATACCGTTGAAGAAAACCACATCTGATAATCGGCCCGAAGTCAAAATAATTACTCTGTTTTTTTTTTTCGGTTGTTATGTTTTATTTTATAATTTTATCCAATGCCTAAGAGATCGTAATTTCTCAAAAAAACAAATATAAATTTCAGAAACGTATTTGTTTATTGTGAGAGAAGTTGATTGGGAGGGGAGGCGGTAGGAGATGTGGTCGTCTTAAGGAGAAAAAAAAAAATTAATATGTGCCGACGTTTCAGCCCAAGTTGTAGTATTTCATCAGAGCGACAAGAGCAGTGTAGCACTGACGAATCAAGGAGGGTGGAGGGAGGTGCTTGTGAACTGAAGCCTCACACAAAAATAGAAAAAAATATATAATTTTTTCATTGGTCCATGTCTGTTTCTGTGAGCGATCTGAGCTTAATTAATAAAAATTTTTAATATAATCACTTTTAAATTATAACGAATAAACAATTACTAAATATGAACTCAAGAAAAATATATTAAAAAATGTATGCCTAAAAGCATTATTATTCGTATAATTAATGTTTTTTTTTTGTACAGCTCTTCAAGGGTCATTTAACCATCATTGTATATAGTTTCTTTTTCGTATAGAGAAATTACTATTATAATTAAAAAGCCCACTCAAAAAAATAAATCCGGAATAAAACATATAATGATATAACAACAAAAGTTATTTAAAAATGTATATAAATATATTTCAAATGAAAGTATTGATAAACGTGCGAAAAATTCAATATCAATTTATTACTTAGAGGAACCGTTAAAAAAAAAAACATTTTTACTTCAAACATTTTCATCGCACTTTTACCTCCTATTTATTAAATCTGCCAACGTTTCGAGCCACTTCGCCCATTTTCAAGTCTTAGAATCATATCTATGACATTTATACAAATATTATGAATTTATATAAAAAAATATCAGCACATTCACGATAAAATTAATTTTTTGACCATCACTATTAGAGAATTAAAAGTTATACTTAACATAATTATGTAATCTTACCTAAAACAAAAATTGTTTATAATTTGTATTTAACTTGTATCATGATATATATATATATATATATATATATAATTTTTTTTCAATATTTCATTTGAATTTGAATTTGCATTCTGACAGCGGTGAAACTCCAACAGCTCCGGGACCCTCCACACAACTGGCACCTGCCGCTCTCACCGGATATACAATTATAGAGGCTTTGTCTACTCTGCATCCACTGCCACTTTAATCGATTATGTAAATGACGAAATATATAATTCTGAATTTGTTCAGACGGAGTGATATGATATGATATTGTAAATAATAAATCATAACATATAATGTAACCGAAGTAATTACCAACCCCAACAGAAAAGGGAAAAGAGATTAATGTTGTTAATTAATAATTTAATACCAAAGTCACATTTTCTCGGAAATATACAATTAATACTTAAATCATTGGAATCATTTACGTCATTTAATCATTCGAAATTATATAATTTTAATATTAACATTAGTGGATCCATGATTTAATTTTGGGAAGGGGGTTCATCCTGAAAGCTTATATATATATATATATATATATATATATATATATATATATATATTAATCCGACCATTACTTTGGAAGGAAAAGAAAGAAACTAACTACCTATATGAAATGGTGTTTAAGTAATTCTTGAAGTCCTATTAAACGTAATCACACGAACAATAATACTTTTAGGGATATTTTTTTTTACAAGACATGTTTATATTTTACCATTTGGGGAGAGAGGGGGGCTTCAGACCGAAAGCTTAGGGTAGACCTTCAAGTCATCTTATACCATTCCGTTTCGATGATCACTGTGAAAAATATTTTAAAAATACATAGTCGAAATTACCTGAACGGGTTTCGAAAATCACTTTAACGTGAAGAGTATTCAAATTTAAAATATGAATAGATCGATTATATCCTATGCATTTAAATGAATCTAAGAGACGATATTTAAAAATATTGCCTCTTTTAAATTGCCGTAATTGCGCGCAAATCGGGACCATCTTATCTCGCTATTATTAATTAATTTACAGTTGTTATTTTTTTTTATACAGTATTTATAAATGAGTAATGGAAAATTATAATTAGAGAAATAAAAATCAATTGTTTCATAGTTTTTCAACATAGAATATTTTAATTTATTTAAATACCATCATTTTGAATAAGATAGGCTTTTTAATATTTTTGATGTGGTTCCTAATTGCTCTATGCCGTAATATAATCAATCATAAAATATTTTAAAGTAAGTTCAATTTTTCATATCTAAAAAAAAATCTATATTATTATATTTATATTATCTTAATTAAGAACATTGAAGGACAAAATATAAACTTTCCCAACAATTTAAATATTTATAACAAAATTTTGTATAAATAGTTGGAACGAAATTCTTATTTTTTTTTTAAATTGTGATTTATTTATTTGTTAAAGAAATATTTTAATAATCCCAACTCTTTTGGATTCGGATGTCCACTCACATATTGCAAATTTTGACTCTTAATAACAATTTTCTTTTCTATTCAAACACAGCATTGAATCGATAAAATTCAAATTTCTCAAGTTACTATAAAAGCTATTGTTATTCTATATTAATTTTAGTAAAACTCTAAGGAAAATGTTTTACTATAATTTTCGCAATTTATATACTAAGTTCTCAAACATCCAGGGTAACCAGAAGGGGATTTTATGGAGCAAGTTTCGCCATCGAAATTAATGAGGGAGCACTTTTTGACGGAGTTTTTAATTTTTGAGGGAGCACATTTCGACGGGGTTATGAATTTTCAGAATGAAAATTTTCAAATCAAAAGGCAAGTGGAATCATGGAACAGACCACAGGATGTGTAATGGTATATAATCTACGAATATACAAACTCTACTTTCGTTTGCGCTGTTTTTTAAAAAGGGAGAAATAAAATATCTTGGGGGGGAGGGGGTGGGCGAAGGCTTATTGGCCATCGGCCTTGGGGGGGGGAGGGGATGGGTACCCCTGCAAACATCCCAAAGATCTTTTTGGATTTTCTAATTTCCGGGAAGGTGAAACTCCTCTTCCCTATCCCTCTCATAACAAAGACTTTAATTTAACTATACATTTTTAATATTCGAAAATTTATAGATAGTTCAAAAATCCATGCAAATGATAATAGTTATGATTTTTTTTTTTTTTTTTATTAATTATGTTTAAATTAGCCAAAACTATTAAAATATATTATTATTTGAGATTATAGTGTTTGTTATATAAGTATGATTACACATTTTTTAGGCTGTTGCCAATAATGAGGCGCAGAAACAGAATGAGCTGCAAGACAGGTTCCAACAGGACCACCTTCGGCAGCAAGATCACCTTCTCCAACAGCAGCACAAAATTCAAGAGTTACAGGTATGTAACAACAATGATGTCACTAAAATTGTATATATCATATTTAATTTATTTAGTTTTAAGCAAATTTCAATTAACTATATTATTTATTTCTCTATACCATTGGGAATAGAACCCATATTCTAGCAAATGGTTCTCTTTCCACCATAATTGACTCATAAAGCTGGTTCTATCATGATTAGATATGAAGTTTGTCAAGCAAATATTAGTTTTCCTATAATATTTTGAATTACAGCAAAACATTAGAAACTACTTCAAGTAGTGTAATGCTCAATAGAAAAACTCCAAATATATTTTTCAAATAAAAAATATAAGATTTAAACTTTTTTTTTTTTTTGGTAAATTCAGGTGTGGATGAAGTGATAAGCAACTGCACCAGGACCTGATGGCAAAGGGTCAACTAGGGTCCATGATGTCTTAAAATATCTTAACTTAATGATTTATAAATGAACCAAACTGCTCAAAAAAATCTCAATCAAATAATAAAACAAATCTATAAACAAAATGTTACATTTATGGCCTCTGAGTTGAAACTTTTTAACTGCTTTGTATTCCAACTTGAATTGATCAGCTCCTAATTATGCTATTTATTTTTAGAGAAGTAAAATTTGAAGAACTTAATGAACTGATGAGTAATGTTTTGTGTGACTTGTTGTAAAAACCTGCAAGAGTTCACTTAGCAATTAATATTTATAATAATTATATTTTTTATTAATTATTTTATTAATTTATGTATTTTTTATTTTATGAAGACTCAAATATCGTCACAATATGCTTCTGGGAAGGGGTTGAACTTGGGATCACCTCAAGCACTCATGTTTCTTCCATTCCTTGATCAACTCCGAAATTTGCAAAGCAATTCAGGCCCAGTTGCACAGACATCCAACACCAGTCGACCACCATCAGGACCAAATGTATGTTTACTGAGGCTGAGAACACTTAAATAGTATTTTTTTAAAAATAATAATGACATGACAAAGCTCAGTTTTTTTCCTTTTTTTTTTAAACCAGACATTTGTTTAATTTAAATGTCTTAATGCATATAACATATTTAATTGTTATAGATATTAAGCAAGTATTAAGACAAAATTGAAAATATTTCGTTTTCATCTTGAATAAACCTCATTAGCATTATTGGAACGCATTAAAATATTAAATAGAATAATTAAAATCATTATAATATATTTATATAAAGTAAAGTGTGAATAGTTTATAAAAAAAAATCAATCATTTATATTATATTATTTTATTTTTTCATTTTTATCTTAGTATACAAAACTATATATTTAATTTGGTTATTATTCACATGCCATATTTATTATTTATATGCTTGCTCAATATAAAGCTGTATTTCAATATTTTTTATTAATTAATTTTATTTGCAGCTGGTTGGAGGTGGTTGGGGAAGTAGTATGTTGATGAGAGAATCGTCTCCACCATCAATGGTAATGGCACCAGATCCTGACACACCCTTAAATTTGAGCAAGCCTAAAGAAGGAGGACCTGTTCAGACAACTCAGAAACTCATACCTCCAAACCTACTTATGTCTAGAGCATTCCTGCCATATGCAGGGCTCCCATCACATGTTAAAAGTTCAGGTATAAAACTATTAATGCATAATTCATATATTTATAACTTTATGTGTTTTGATAAAATGACATTTATTCTCATTCATAATATTTAAATTGTACATACTTTTGGTACATTTCCTTTGTTTATATAGTAAAACCAGAAAGTTTTGATAAAGACTGTTTTTTATATTAGATGTCAAATTATTATTTTTTAGGTAAGATGGGCATGGGTAGTTCTCCTGGTCGAGAAGGAGAAAAAATGCAGCCATATCCAGGTTTGCATTTATACTCTCCTCACCAACCTCACCCATTAGCAACACCTCTGAGAGATGAATCAAAAGATGATAATGACTTCATCACAGCATATCACAGTGAGTAACATTGTATTAATATGGTAAATTATAAATTAGATATGAAATATAATAATTCAAGTAAGAAACCTCGTCATAACTGATTACCTGTTTAATAATTTGTTCCTTGTCCAGCCCAAAAAACTTAAAATATTCCTTTCAGTCAGCATAAAAAATACAGAAAAAGTAGATATTTTACTTTATCTTGGATTAAATGGGTTAATATATAATAAATCAATTGATTGTAGCTTATAAACTTTTTATATGAAACTGATTATTAAATAATATTATCCATATTCTGGATATCAAAATACAATAATTGTACAGAGCTGAAATTATGAAATAATTGTATCATGATTTAATTATTTCATTATAGCAGCATTTAAGATTTTTCAAACACATTCTTAATGTATAAAATATTCATCAAGATATTAAAAAAAAAAAAAAAAATAGCAAAAGATTAGTTGTTGAGAAATTTAATAAATAAGCTTATATGTGCAGAATTTATATCTTGAAAATAAGAAATATACTTATGTATTTATGTTACTGTTTCTGATTCTATATAGCATACACACCTTATAAATTTGTATATGCATATAACAGATAAAGCTTATTAACATGTTTATTTAACTCCAACTATATCAACGTCAACTTTAATTCTGTTGTATTTTTATTAATATTCCTTCACTCTGGAATTTTTCTTACTTAAAACTTTTTTTCAGTGTGGGGTCAGGATCCATCGTTTAAACTGCAGGATGAATCAGGTGATAAAGGTGAGAAATTATTACGCTACATTTTAAAATAGCATAAAAATCACTCTTACACTTAATATATATTTCCATAATGACTAGATGAAAGGTATTTCATGTTTTTATTGTACATTTAGTGAAATAAACTGTATAGAATGTGGAATATTTGTCTTCTTCTTCTTAATTGTTTCCTCTTCTACCACTGAGTGGTGTGAGGAGCCTTCTTGTAGAGTCAAATCCATAACCCTTGATCCTGGACCTACTGCTGCTTCCTCCTTCTGTTAAAGGCCTCCTTGACACCAATCTCCTGAGTCTTCCTGGCCTTCCTCGTGGTCTTCTTCCCTCAAATTTACTTTTCAACATAATCCTGGCCAATCGGTTCTCTGGCATTCGAGAGACATGACCAAACCATCTCAAACAATTTTCCTCTGTCACAGTTTTGGCTGGTCTTACGTTTATTTTTTTCCTTATTGTGGAGTTCCTTATGCGATCTCTTTTCGTTTTAATAAATTATTCCATGCTCTCACAACATTTCTTTAATTCTTATACAGACTCAGAATATCTTTACAGAGGTCTGTTTTGATTCCTTTGTCTTCTAAGGCTTTTGCTATGTCTTGCTTCTTCACTCAGACAAATGTCTTAGTCAGGTCTGCAAAACAATCATATATCTCTTTGTCACTTTCGACTAATTTCTCGGAAATTTTTCTTAAAGTAAATATGAGATCTTGGGTACTGCTATTTGGCCTAAATCCATGTTGTTCTTTACACAGGGAGGATTCTTCTGTTCTTCGTAGGTATCTCTCTAAAATCTTGAGTATATTTGACTGGGGATACTAAGAAGAGATATTTCCCAGTTTTTTTTTACATTCTCTGTTGTTCCTTTTCTTAAATATTGGGACTGTAACAGATACTTCCCAATCCTTTGGGAACCAACACGAGATTTAGTATGTGCTGTATAACTTCAATCCCCTTTTGGTTCATATATTTGATCATTTCAGGGGCAATACTATCTATTCCTGCTGCTCTTCCTATTTTCAGTGAGACTATAGCATCCACGATTTCTTCTTCACTGATAAAATTTCCTTCCAACTCGATCACATTCACCCGTTCAGCTTCCTGATTTTCATCTTCAGCATTTTCGTCCGGAAATTCCTTGAAGTATTCAGCCCATCTGTGCATGATTTCTTCATTGCTTTTTAGTATATTACCTTTCTTATCCTTAATTCACTTGAGAACAGGATCTTTCTCTTTGCGCATTTTTCAAAGCATTCTTTAGAAAAGTTTCTGATCGTTGAGGAAATTGTCCTCCAGCTTTCTTCCAAAATATTCTCACATTTTCCTTTTGGCTTCTATGACCTTGTTTTTCACTGTTTGTCTTTGAGTTATGTATTTTTTCATAATCATTATGGGAAATCGATTTTAGATATTGCTTTCAATACATCTTCTTCCGGTTAATTTCCTCTTTGGCCACTTCACTCCACCATGCGGTTCTCTTTAGTCTTTGTCCTATATTTCTTTTTCCACATGCTATTTCTGCTGAGTCCATCAGAAGTTTCTTCAAAGCAGACCAAGATGTTTCCACGTTGTCCGAGTTCCAGAAGTATGTTCCACTAAAAATCTTTTCTTCTATTATGTTCTGATAGGCGGTTGCTATTTCTTTGTTTCTCAAATCATAGGCATTTATCTTTTGTGCTTTTTGATGCCTTTTATTTTCTTTCCTTGGCAAAACTTTATTCAGGTTGATATCTATCTTCAGAAACCAGTGATTCAAGTTCTGTGCCTCTCTTGACTCTAACGTCTATTGTATTTTTTATTTCTTCCCTTGGAATGAGAAAATAATCTATTATTGATTTTTCATTTCGCTCTGGTTCCACTCTTGTATATTGGTGTATTCTTTTATGGAGAAATATGCTATTTGCTACAATCATTCCGTTTGCGAGATATAGGTTCAAGATCCATTCTCCTGAATTGTTGAGATATTCTCCATCATTTCTTCGTAAGGTTCATTGCCATACTACATCGTCATTACCAACCCTGCCATTTAAGTCTCCCATAATAATAGGGATTCCATCGCTATCATCTATTTCTCTTAGCAATGTTTCAAAGAACATGTCTTTTTCTGCGGCAGGTGCATTGTGATTTGGTCTATAGGAAATAAACAGTATGTAGAGTTTGTTGTCTCGTGAAAATTTGAAAGATAATAATCTGTCATTTATAGCTTTCCATTCTGTTATGAACTTAGATGTGTCTTTGTGGAATATACAAGCCACTCCGCTCTTAGAATGCTCAATGGAGTTCACTTCTGAGTATACTAACACAAAATCTCCGATTTACTCTTCTCTTCTTCCTTCCTTTTTAGTTACTGTAATTCCCAATATGGTGATTCCTGCTTTCTTTCCTTCCTCCACCAGCTCTACTTTCTTTCCATTAATGCCTTAAACATTCCATATTCTGAAACATATAATCCTTTGTGCCCAGAGCCTGATGGAGGTATTGCCTCCTTTAAAGCTTTCAGGCCAGCTCCTCCATTACTTTACGGGAAAGATGTTATACCACTGCTACTGACCTGAGATAATCACCTATTTAGGCTGTAATGGGACTCTCCTCCTTTACCAGGGCTTGGGACCTGCACCCATATCTATTAGGCGGAATTGAAATATTTGTAATATAAAAATTATTGTAATATTTTATGGTCTAATTTTAATAAGAAAAAAATAATTATGTTTATTTAAAACATATTATGAGTGATTAAACAAATAATTCAATAGTAAAGTGGAACCATATGTGAATTACATTGTCTAGGTTTAGTTTTCATAGATCTATAACCCAAATGATACAACTACCAAAGCATATACAGTAAATACGATAAATTATTTCTGAATATGGATTTAAAAATATTAAACGTTTTAATAAAACATGACAATACCAGATGACAAACATTTACGTAATTGCCAACTATCTAACTTAAGGCAATAACAGATCGGTAAATAATGCACTCAGCAATTATTTATTCTACACCATACATTATTGATATACATTTTTTTTTTGTAGCTAAAATGTTGAGACAACCAAAGAGAGAGGGAGAAAATAAACCTCACATAAAAAGGCCTATGAATGCATTTATGGTATGGGCAAAAGATGAAAGGAGAAAAATTTTAAAAGCCTGTCCAGATATGCATAATTCAAATATTTCTAAAATTTTGGGTAAGTATTTTTATATAACTATTAAATTAGTTTCCTAGAATTGTAATCAGAAAACACACAAAGTAAGAGAACATAAATACTACTATTTGTACATGCAAAATCCAAGCCAATTTCATAAGTAATTTTCCACTTTCAATGAAATAAATAATAGATAACCAAAAATGATTACCTTTAATGCGGCAACATAAAACCTTTTGACAAGAAATGGAACAAAAAAAAAAAAAAAAAACTGAAAATATGAAAAACTGATTGAATTTTCGGAGTGACTAGAATACCACCTGTCTTAAATTCCATCAGGCCCAAATCCCATTACGCCAACTCTCCATAAGAATGGAAACTGATGGAGAGGAATGGTGGACTAAATAGTTTTCATGCTGAGCTATGATAATAATAACAACAATTGTTGGTCCGAAAAGTAAAAACATTAAATATATTATAAAAATATGGATTTAAATTACTAACAATTTAGTGTATTTGTTTAATATTAATTACATTTAAAATATAAATATTAAATAAAAGAAAACAAACATTTTAATGAATTTATAAGTTATAACATGAGTAAACTAAAACTTTATCTTTCTTTTTAATTAATATTATATTGCAGGATTATTAAATTAGAATTACATTGGAGTATTTAAATACTGTAAATATAAAATGCTTTTGAACCAAGGAAATATTATTGAAAATAGGATATGAATAATCATTTTATTGTAATTAGCTGTAGAGTGAGAAACATAGCTACAATGACGAATGTCAAAGCCTCAGACAGCAATTCATGGGTCTCAATTCTAATCACAAAATCCAACTTTTATTTTTTTATTTGTTTATTTATTTTTTTTATCTTTGGAAAATATTAGTAAGATAAATGCAAATAAAGGGTTAAAAACAATTTAAATGAACAATGTTAATTCCCAACCCATCTAATATTTTATATATATATACTAAAGACCAAAACTAATGAATTAAAAAAAAATTATAATGATGATATATTTTTGTTTTGAAAAACAATTTACTTTGATTAATTACAATTGTAAAAGTAAGCTACTGCAAGAAATTAAAAAAAATAATTTATTATTAAAAATTAACTTATTTCCGCTCTTTTCAAGTTTCAATCTTCAAAAAAATCTCCATTAATATATTTAAATTTAACTTTTGTGCTCTTATATTTTTAATATATACTTGAAATCTCAGATTGCTTAGTCTAGGTGAATGCACATTTTTAAGCATATTTTTATAATTTAAAAAAATATAAATGGTCTTTTATTATTAGCTACAGTAACAGGTATTATACTGACAACCAGAGCCACCATGTGGGTGATAAATACTTGGGTACTTTTACTAGGCGCTACCTCCCATATCTCCATATTGATCAGTGTATTTTCAAATGTTTGCTAGGAACATACCATCACTCTTCCATCAATGGTCGATAAATTTCAGCCGGTTTGTTGAAATTTTTAGTGTTTATAATAATTTAACTCGATATGTTATGCCCTATTGGCCAGCACATTAAGAAAAGGGTTCTATAAGTTAAAATAATCATATTATAAAAAAATGTTTTTATTTGTATGCATGCTTACTAGTAAATATTTTGGTGCATTTTCAATGAATCTAAAACCTGTTGGTAATTATATTTATATCACTTTTTTGTAGTTTTAAGAAACTATTTCAAATCCTTACAGGATTATTAAAGTATAATTGTGCTTTTAAATTTTCTAGGGGCTCGTTGGAAAGCCATGACCAATGCAGAAAAACAACCATTTTATGAAGAACAATCACGCCTCTCCAAACTGCATATGGAAAAGCACCCAGATTATCGCTACAGGCCAAGGCCAAAGCGTACTTGTATAGTAGATGGCAAAAAGATGCGCATTTCAGAGTACAAATCTCTAATGAGACAACGCAGAAATGAAATGAGGCAACTTTGGTGTAGAAGTGAAGCTGGACCATCAGGGATGGCTGGTCCAAGCTTTGGATTTCCTCCAGAGGGATCTATTTCCCCTTCAGAAGTACTTTCATTTTCTCCAGGAAATTCACCGACCTTCGAGACAAATTCACCAAATCATAATGATGATTAAACTGTGATTTCTTATAGACTGTAAAAAAAATAAAATAATAATAAAAAAATGAAAAGTTAAAGTAAAAAATAGGTAAAAATCTGTTTTGAGATCAAATACCTCTATAAATATAAACAGAATTTTTTTTTCTATCAGTATCTATGAAAGTTAGAATAATGTATTCAGATATATATAAATCTATTTAATATTAATTAAAATAGAGAAATAAAATGTCTCTTAAAAAAAGCTAAGTCCAACCATTTAATGAATTCTTTATAAAAAGTTCTACAGCAATGGTTTTCAACTAGTTATTTGTATTTTTCATCAGATTCGTTTCAAACCATTAGAAGTTGCTTGAATGGACAGAGATGAATTAACATTTTTTACTTTTTTTTTATATGATTTTATTAACTGTTAGGTGATATTAATTATTGTTTTATTCCTGTTACAGTGCATGCAAAGTGTGTTTGATATTTATAGAGGTAAACACAATAAACATATCTATCTGTATCCAAGTTTTTTAAAATATAAAATATTTTTTATGTTTTATAACAACTCCCAGCTGTAACATAGGCTGTATATTAGATTTTACAAGTCAAATCATAAACTTGTGAATATTAAATTAGCTAAGTTCAGTATTAGATTACTTATAAATTTATTTATGGTTCCTTAAATGCATGTCTTTCCAATGTATACAAATTACGAACAATATACATGGCGCACTTTTTCAAACTTTTTTTATTATTATTTTTTATTTTATTTTTTTATATGTGTTAATCGTGAAGAATCTGTTAAAAGATAAGATGTACATGTGTGATATAAAAATGGTTTTCTTTGAAACAGAAAATCCAATGTAGTATACAGTGCCAAATCAATGAGTAATGAGCAATAATAACATCCAACTAAATTCTACTTATGTTAAATATTCAGGGACCCATCTTCAACCATTTTATAAGTTATATTAATTATAATTTATTAATTTTAGATATTATACTGATTCAATTAATCTATTTTTTAATTAAATTTGTGTTAAAATATCATTTGTTTCCATATTTTTTCTGATTTTCTGCTCATTATTATTTTGAAAACTTTATATTGATACAATTTTTAATCATGATAGTTCGTAATTTTATTATGTATAAATTTTAATTTGAACTTTTTATTTTAAAATGCAAGTTATTAATACCTGTAAATGAATTTATTAACAATAATATTATATTTTTCTAATTTTAAATGATAGCTTTCGCTCTATAATTGCTATCTCTTGATATTTTTCATGAGAAATAAATTGCTCATATTGCTTTTTATCTCTTTCAGAGCTGAGGATAATTCATTCATTTTCTTAATAATTTCTACTGAAAAAATATTTAATTTTTACATTTTTATGATATTATTCTCTGGATCTGTTTTGAAGAATGATCATACTGTTTCAACGATTAGATAATCTGTGAAATAAGCAACAAATCTAAGTTATTGTAAATATTTTATAACTTATTATGGACATTGATTTATTTACAAATACTGTATATATCTAAATAATTAGAAAAACTGAAACAAAAAAAAAGAAAAAAAAAAGGTAGCTATCATTGTATTTATATAATTCAAATAAATAAATCAAAATGATTTAACTTTAATAAAAACATTATATTCCATAAAATATTTCAAGAAAATACTCTACAACAAAAAGTGCGTTGAAGGGCATCAGGAAGGAGCATATTTAGAGTTCTTTCAAAATTATTTTGTAAAAATGATCTCCAAATCATGTTATGAATTTTAAATTGATATAATTTAAAAAATAAAAATTAACACACTCATTCCTCTTACTAATTTAAGATATTCATCTGTTATAATTATTAGTTAAATTTTATTACATTCAAAATATTGTGTATTCTGCAAAATAACTGCTGTTTAATAATTATACATGTTGTTATTACTAGAAGGTGATTTTTAGAATTTTAGAAATGTGTGATTTTATATTGTATATATTCTTTAGTTCCCTGTTGTGTCTTTATGTGTATACATAATGTAAAATAGTTAAATAAATATTATTTATTGCATCATAATATATAAGTAATATTTGCTGATAAAAATATAAATAATAGAAAAGTGGAAGTGGTTAGTAGGTTAATACAGTTCTCACATTAGGCCAGTACAAAATAGAATTTTCAAGAATTGTAAGAATTAGAGGCTGTACTGGATGCCTATAAGATTTTTATTTTTATTTTTTTTAACCTATTAGTGAACCAAAGTAAATAAATAAATATTGTATTTTTTTAACATAAGTATTTTACAGTAATTACGTTTTGCCTTCACTGTTGTACTCATTTTTCTTTACATATAATTTATGACTATTATCTTTATAATTTTATTATTAAAATATATATTATTTACTTCCATTCATTAAATTTTATTTATTTCATCATTTCTTAGCAATGATTGAAAATGAGTACAATATTTGAAGGAAAATAATATTATTAGTAGAATTTTCATTATAGACTGTATGCTTAAATATGATACTATCTTCAGGTGAAGGTATGTTATAGGACCTAAGAACTAAAACTGCATACACACCACTTTCATTATATTCCTTATATATTCTTTTTATATTGTTAATAAATTGTAATATATAGGCATATGGATTAGTAGTTTTTTCGGGGTAGTAATATGTTATGTGCCATTGTTATTTTTTAATGACATGTGCAGGGTCAGCTATTAATTTTTATACATTTGTCAAACTTAAGTATGCTACTAAATATTGATTCATTAATAAAAGATTTACAATGGAAAAAATGGAACTGACTGTACTTATAATTCTAAAATATATCAAGTTAATTATATGCATTTAATGTTTATAAAATACTTTATGATTCATCAATATTCTCATATTTACTCTTAAGTCTGTTTTTCTTAATGATAAAATGTAAGGGACCAAATATTGAGATAACTGAGATGACAGTTAAAAATTATAATCATCAGTTCAGCATATTATATTTGCTGGAAGCATTTGATTTATTATTACATTTTAACATTATTTTCATATCCCCCGATAAAAATTCATGTCAACTTTAGTATACTTAAGATCCATAACTATTAATTGTAAATATTTATAATGGTCTCATGCATTTATTAAATTAAAACATAATCAACTGCTGATTCATTAAGAACAATGTAATACCAAAATAAAAAAATAAGATTCTGGAAGTATTACATTTTGTTGGTATTCATGGAGATTCAATCTTGAACCACTGCTTTGTTACTAAATTAGGTGACAAATCTTTAATTTTGATTTATACCTCTGAACTAATACATTATTATAAATGTTAAAATTTAGATTCATTGGATCCTGTTATATGTATAAATATTTTTGAATAGAAATTCAAAATAATTGAAAATTCATGTGATGGAAAAACTGATTAAGAAAAATTAAGAATTTATTAATTCAATAGTTACTTTATGAGTTATTGCTGACCCTGAGCATGTATAATATTCTTTGTAATATTAATTATTTTTGAGGAGCTGCTTTATAACGTTATTTATTGCATTGTTGGCATTTCATCTGTAAGGCTTTTATATTAAAGGCTCCAAATTTCTCATGTATATTACAATTGATGTATTCAACTTTATTATAAAATATATAAAGTTAGGAATAATGAAAAGTATATAAGTATTTAATATTGATTGTATTAAGTCTTAAATGTTATAAAAAGAAATAAGAAATTCATTAATAGAAATCATGTTTTTAAAGTAGATGTTCTTCTTTTTCCCATTTTCTCACATATTAAATAATTATTTGGTATTATTCTGGCTAAACTTTTAGTATTCCAGAGCAAATACTTTATTTTCATTTTTAGACAAGATTTGACATACACACTTATAAAGTTATGATGAAAGATATTAATAAAAAAATATTCCACTACTAAATAATACAATGAAAAAATAGTGAGGCCATTGGAAAAGCAATAAAAAACTTGACATAATCATTTAAAATTTGAAAAAAATATTTATTTGCTAAGAAATAGAACATAAGATAGGTCCCGGGCAAGTAAGTTATGGGCCTACTGTGCCCAGAGCCTGATGGAGGGATTGCCTCCTTTAGAGCTTTCAGGCCAGCTCTCTCATTACTTCATGGGGAAGATGTTATACCGCTCAGCAGTAGAAGAGGAAACGATTAAGAAGAAGAAGAAGAAGAAGAGAAATAGAACAAAATATTACAAATAGTTCAAATACAACAAAAAAACATTGTTGTTATTCTCCATTAAGCCTGACATCTTCAAATTGTATAGCCTAGGGATCATTTAATTCCTGCACTCAGTCCTAAGGGCCAAGACCGCTGGCTGATCATACTAAGAACATACTCTTATCACAATTTACAGTTAAAAATTGTTGTTTCATTATGCATGTTAGTTATTTTCTTTCCTACCTTGACTTTAAAAAACACATCTGATTATAATTTTGATGAATATTACATTTATCATATTTATATAAATATGTATAAATTACATAGATATATTTTTTTTATTTGCAGTTGAGAGTACATATTTTTGTCGTGCAACATAACAGTTTATTCCTCTTAGGTTGGCCCTCATGGATAAATTACACCCACTAGGTGAAGTAAATTGAAAAAATAACGATTGTAAAGTTTTCTAATAAGAAAAAGAGATCACTTAAATAAAAAATTTCTTCAAATCCTATTTTTTAGTCAACTCAATAGAGTTTATAAATGTTGAATACTATCTGTACGAGACTTCTTCAAAAGACAAATCAATGTCGAAGCTTATTTCACAGCATGCAGAGTTTCAAGACTGCATAGAATCTAGCCCTCTTCACATGGCTTCTAAGATTCCCAGATATAACACCTTGAAATTTTTCCAGCTGAAATAAACCAGGGATAATGTTTATATTCAGCTAATACCGAATACAATGGATGATTTTAAAGAGAGGATAACAATTTTGATCAACTCAGTTGCTACGACACATCTTGGAGTAATTCGTTTATCACCTTGATGTGGTCCATGCAGCGAATGAAGCCATGATTTTCTCTGAGTACACTTTTAGGAGAGGGAAACAACTTTAACTTCAGTCAAATATTATTCAGTCAAAAAGACTCGGTGTAAATTATTACTACTGTCCGTTAGGGAACTTTGTTTTGTTTTTTTCTTTGGACCTTACAGACCTTTGGATATTTGGCTGCCTGGACCAGTATCCTCCACTTCTACCTATCTTTAGCTCCTGCTTTCTGTTTTTGTACATACAGCTCTGCAGCATCTTTGTTGACTTTATCTAACCATCGTTTCAGTCTTTTGGCAACTATTGTGGCATTGCTATAGAGAGACTTCCTGATCGATTACTTCAATCTACATGCCCTCCCCTCCATTACCTCCTTGCCTTCAAATTATAATGAAATTCACTGACTTTGTATAAACTAAAAACTAAATAATTAACCATTTCACATTAATCTTTAATATAAAAAATAGTTAAATATAAAATATGAAGAAATTTCTAATCAGCTTCTGCAAGCAGTTTTTTATTGGTCTTCCTTATGATATTGTTGGTTTTGATATCAAGGAATTATTCGCCAGCATTCCAATTAAGGAGTGTATAAAACAAAATCTGGTGCGCGCATCACACGATTTTCATTTACCACCTTCTTCTTAGCAGAAATAAGTATTTTTAGACAAAGGGGAAGTGACAATAAAAATTATTGACACTATATTTATTTACAGTTCATTGTGGGTATTTTTATTTTGTATAATACCTTCATATATACAAATTTTAACTTTTATATCACTGTATTCTATACAATTAAATATTAAATAATACCAACGATAGTATTTATGAAAATCACATATGTATATGAACATATTCTTGTCGGAGTCCGTATGGTGAGCTCCTTCCTTTGATTCCTCTATTTCAACTATTATCCATTATGATCTCTTATTTCTCCTTTAGTTAATTATTAAATTCTTTCATATTTTATATTTAACTATTTTTTATATTAAAGATTAATGTGAAATGGTATTTCAAGTTAAAAAAAATAAAGGTACTTTAGAGGAAGACAATATTGAAAATTAGCCATTTAAGCACTAATAGAGAACATCAATGAAAATAAAACCTACATTATACTAAAAATTGCTTAATAATACAATGATATACTGAGTTTAATCAAAATCCTTTGAGCCGTTTTTGAGAAAATCGTAAAAATGTGTTAAATGGATTATATAAAGTAACACTTTCGGTTTGCCGTTTTTGACAAAAATGTTGTTGTAACACCAAAAGCTTATAAAAACCTTAAATATGCAATTTCACTTTCATAAGACTTTTTGTTTTTGAGCTAGACTGATAATGTACAAACAAACACACACACACACACACAGACTATTTTACGGGACTTGGTTATTTGGACTCAGGAGACCTCAAAGCATGTATTTCTGTTGAAAACTCAGACTCAAAAATTTTCTCCATCGCAATACTTACTATGTATTACATATATAGGTAAGTGAAAGTAATATTTATGAAAATTGGAACACTATTAAGAAATCAATGAAATCAACAAATATTATGTGTGAACCAAAACTATTTTTGAGCAATAATTTCTTTAAATTTAGTGAAGATTATTTTAAAGAGCTAAACGCTCTGGAAAATCGGTTATCAGTACTATTAAGTGGTTATTTTTAGAGGAAATTTTATGTAATAAATAAAATTGAAAATAAACCAATAAAATACATTGATGATTTGCTTATCATTGCAAAAAGCAATTACTATGAAAAACTATTCAAACTACTGATTAAAGCTACTTAAAGAATCGTACATTCACCATGGAAAACTGAGAAATAATGGTTTGGGATATATAATAATAATAAATTGGAGAATCATTTATCAAATATGAAAGATAAGATTAAAATAACACAACACAAATTATGATGTATACAAAATTAAATGTGTGAGATGTCTGAAGCAATACATAGGAGAAACATCTCAAAACAGGTAAAACAGCATAGAACAAATATTAAAAATTAAATAACTAAAAAGCAACAGCATTGACAAATCATAGTATAATAAGTGATCACAAATTTGATGTTAGCAATGTAAAATTACTAAATATGCAGGAAACAATAAAATTAGAAAAACAATAGAATATATATAATAAAATGGCGGTCAAAATTCCTTAACTGAATTATTGACGGCTATGAACTTGAAACTCAACATTTTTGCATAATTTATTTCCTTAAATTCAATTAGAGATAGTTTCAAAGGGATCATAGCCATCTAGCAACTACTTCCAGCTACAATAGCCAGCTATTTTGTGAATAAATGAAGAATATTTAGGGTGAATATTCAATTTTTAAAAATTAAAATTAAAGTTGTTTTGGGTTGCAAAGTATAAATACAAAATATTTGTATAATACAATTCACTTTTCAACTAAAACAACAATAATAAAAGTTCTGGTTGTTTAGTTACTTTTTTCAAGATACATTTTTTTCTCACATACCAGAGGGGGCACCCGCTCCCTCTGTGCCCCTCTCCTGGATCTGCTAGTGTAATATAAATAATTCAGTGAATTTTAAATCTGCCTTAAAATATCAGCGAGCATTATGCACATATTCTTAATGAAATCTACATTTAATTACGTGATTCATTGTTAGAAAATATAAATATTAAACAATAACAATACTATATTCTAAATTGTAAGGGGCATACTTCTCTAAGTAGCACAATTAACACAGTTCACTTTAACCAATAAAAAGGGAAAGACTACTCTGCATAGTAAGTTATAAAGTAAATAAAATTAATTATTCAACACTCTAATAATACTATGTTTTTACATATAACACTCACAATATAAAATATATGTTACAGTTATTTATTTCACAAACATTGTATAAAATACAGGATAATACAGAATGGCAATAATAGTATTTTATTTTCGGATGACCGGAAAATTTTTGGTAATATATGATAAAGTGAGAAAAGGGAATATGAAGATATTTAGGTAGTTCTTTACACCATATGTTTTAAATTTTGATAATATCTCAACAACAAATTTTTATAATTTAATTAAATTAGGACATACAGAACCATTGATCAGATCAACTTATTGCTTAGTAATAAACATTTTCATTTTTAATTATAGATAACTTGATAATGAGCCAATGTGGCTTGAAACGTCATTTCTTGATGTTTAAGTGGATTTTGAAGTGACAATTGTAATTATATCTTTGAAAAAACTCTATGGCATCAATTAAAGAAAGTACCCCTGAAAAATAAAACCACCTATGTCAGAAATTTATTCAAGACTCCATTTGGTTCAAACTTTTATGAATTTAAATCTTTGATTTTGAAATGTTACAATCTATCCAAAAATATCCGCTATAATTATATTAAAAATCCTTGATTATTTTTTTTTTACTAGAATACAGAGAAAATAAATAATCTGAGACAAATATTCTCTGAATATGTGAAAAGAAAGTATAATATACATATTTTAAAATTACACTTTAAATAAAAAAATCAAAAGGTTTCGGCCAGCCTTTTGCAGAGAATGCTTCTATAAAATTTTTAGAGCTACTATCAAGTTTTCCAAATTTAAAGAAAATTAAAAATCATCGGAGGAAAGACTACTCAATAATTAGA